GAACCCAATGCTGGACGGGAAGCCAGCAACTATGGCAAAGGTGGGCAGAAGACCGGTGATACCAAAAAGGACAAACTCCAGTAGAAAGAGACCCATAGTCATGAAGTCGAATGGAGGACTTTTGAACGCCGAGAAGTTCAGAGTGGCACCCTTTCCCCCGAGGGGAGCAGAGGATGAGGATGCAGTCAAAGTGGGAAATGGAAGGAAGCAAATCACCCCCAACACCATGATGCCGAGGACGAGGAAACCTGTCGCTCGCATGGTCCATTGCCATCCGAGTTTGGGAAGGAGGGAACGGAACATCATTGATAGGGTGACGCCACCGAACGATGACCCAGAGAGAGCCATACCCATGGCAAGCCCACGACGGCGGCTAAACAGCTTGCCGATGACGGCCATGGCAACGGTGGAAGTGAGCGCACTGCTGATGCCGCCCAAGACTCCGAGGCAGAGTATGAAATGCCAGTACTCTGTGCACTCGCCCAGGAGGAAGAACAACGGAACAAGGGTAGCTGCGGAGATGGGCGCTAGGATTCTCGTGCCATAGGCGTCCATGAGCGGGCCGGCCTGTATTCCGAGAAGGAGACCTAGCGAGGTGAAGATGCCGCTAATCCATCCGAGATCACGAGCTGTGTAGTCGCTCAGCTGATTCAATTGAAGATACGACTGCACCGTCCCAACGGATTGCATGAACCCTGAATACTACTATCAGCCAAGACAAATTTTGCGGAAGAAGTCGCGTGTGAGATAAGAGATCGCTGGACATACCATAGCTGGGGTAGAGGAACATGAACGACCCGACAACGCATACCCATGCTAGCGGGCTGGACTCGGGATCTCGTTGGCTGGAACCGGACCGAACGCTCGGAGGAGTCCCGAGCTCAATCACCTCCGGCGGAGGAGGAGCCGATGTTGGAGCAGACGTCGGCCGCGCTTGTTCCTCAGAGTTGCCCATTTCTGCTCAACGCGCGCGGCACTCAGATCTAAGCTCAGGCGGGAATATTCCTGGTGTCCGCCATTGCCTCAGAGCGCGGCTCTCTACACAAGTTGTGGCCTTTTATATATGGTTGCCGGTAGACCGGCCGAGAACGGCATCTGGTAAGAGTCATATGTGCATCTAGATTACGCGATCCAACCTTTGTGTCTCAAGTTGGAGAAGACATGTGGGGCACGCCTTGCACTTGACATATGTACTACGCAGTACACCTAGTTGCTAGATAGTCTAGACCCGCCTGATAACTCTATCACAATCTTTGTTGGGTTACTCCACGTCCGATTGACGGAGATGGTTGGAGTAAGGCGTGACTTGGCTGCAGTTGCACTGGGGGAAAAGCCAGCTAAATGGGGAAGGTTTGGGCGGGGAACTATGCCCGCGGCGACTTGTCATGACACGTGGGACCGGATGACCGGGTAGATATCAACAAAGGACCGGAAGTCGCAAACGAAGACAACATGCGGTGTGAAAAATATGTATGTGCTGCTGTGGTATAGTCACAGGTTATAAAATATTTACAGGTAAGAAGCCTCAACCAGGAAACCGACGGTGAACTTGGAGTGGCGCAGGATGGCGGGCCACATGATAGTGTCGTAGGACTACGGCATGTTAGAGACAATATTCTGATTCTTCGAGACTACTCAACACTTACGTCTGAAGGGCTGTGGATGTAAGGGCTGGAGGTGTCAATGGGCTCGTCGCAGACATAGGCAGCGGCTGCATTCAACTGTCAGTACTACCGCTCACATCTACTGCATGTCGGCGAAACTCACGGAAGCCGTTGGAGCGGGCGCTAGCGTGGTCAGAGCATCCGTAGCCGCAGGAGTCGCTGGTCGGCGTGCTGCCGGTGTACTGGGTAGCGACGAGGCGGACGTAGGAGGTCAGGGAAGAGTCGACGTAGTCGGTGTAGACAGAGACCTTGCCGGAGGGTGAGTAGCCGGCCATATCCTGGTTGACGACGGCGAGGACGGTCTTTCCGGCGGACTTGTAGTTGGCGAAGACGGCCTGCGATCCGAGGAGACCGCCCTCCTCTCCGGCGTAGAAGTGGAACTCGAGGGTGTTCTGGGGCTTGAAGCCGGCGTTGGCGAGGACGCGCAGGGCCTCGAGGATGACGACGACACCGGAGCCGTTGTCGTCGGCACCGGGGCCACGGGCAGTGGAGGAACCGCCGGTGGAATCGAAGTGGGCGCTGACAATCACTGCGCTTTGTTAGCATGAAAGATCTGATGCTGGCATCATTGAAGCAGCGTACCGATGTCAGAGCTGGTTCCGGGGATCTTGGCGATGATGGAAGGCTGGCTGAAGGAGTGGGTGAACTGCGACACCGTGATGGCGGAGTTGGCCGCGGCGACGGACTTGACCTGGTTGAACAACCAGGTGGCCGCCTCAGTGCCGTAGGAAGAACGGTAGTAGCGGTTGTAGAAGCTGCGAATGTGTATTAGTATCACTGGGAGGACATCATGAGGACTCGAACACTTACTCGGTCAACGTCTTGAGCCAAGTCTGGGGGTTGGTGTTGGAGACCGAGGAAATCAGGGAGTTGGCCTCGGTGATGTGGGTCAGGGTCGTAGGGTAGGTAGACTGTCTCGTGGCCAGCTCGGCCTCGGGCGGGGTGGAAAGAGCAGTGAGAACCTCGGGATCCTGGATGAAAGTCAGTAAACAGTCAGAAATGGCTGCATTGAAGGCCTCTTACGGTGATATCGGTGATATCAATGAAGCCGATGTGCTTGTTGACGTAGTTCTCGATCTTCTGCTCGTCGGTGACCCAGGTGCCGGGGTCGGTCTCGGACGTCTTGATCAGGCGGAGCGCAGGGTCAATCGCGATCTTGTCGGTGGCCGGGGAAGCCAGCGCGAGCCTCGAAGAGGCCGCGAGAATGGCGAGGGCGGAGTTCAGATGCATTGTCCTGGTGTTGAAGGGCGCGTCCGGGGTGTGATGGCAGATGCAGGCAGAGGCGACGACAGCGAGAGCAACTCTTCCAAGCCAACAAGAAAGGCTGGGCGACAGCGCCCCTTTAAGAACACAAAATGCCCTCACGAGACTGCCGCGCGACCTGGCGTCATTGTCTTCGGGATGTGGAGGATCGTTCTGCAGGGCGGCTGGACCCGTTACCCCAAACAGGCATCTCAACCAGCTGCGGTCTCCTCCGCCATTGCGCTCTATATTGGCCCCGACGAGCAAAGAGGCAGTTCGTTCATATTGCCCTCGGAGCAATGGCTAGCATGCGGCAGGAGATTTAAGCTTATCATGATCGCCAAGCCCGACTGAGCTTAGGGAGCTGCCAAACCCAGCTAGGCCCGGCTGTTCGATGCTACCCTGCCCGGTAGTCCCGCAACCCCAACCGGGCAACTTGGCGATGCCATTGGGCGTTGCTGGGGCCGATGTGGTAAGTGTAATGTCGCTGAGCACGATATTTGTTCTTGGCAAAGTCCACTGGTCGGACCAGCGCGGCCACTCACTGCTGTTTCTTCCAGCCAGCTTCCTCTTCGCTGTTGTGGATGGACTTCTTTCCCACCAAGCGGTCAATTGAATTGAATGTCGTTGAGATATTTTTGGAAATGTTTCGACAGACTTTCGTCGCTGCCTCCGTAGTCTTTTTAAACTGGGAATCGTTCACGGCCTTTCCAGTCCTTCAGCTCTATTGCCAAGACAATACTTCTCCGCCATTTGACGAGGGTTTTATCTCCTACTATTTGAGCTCAGCTAGATCCAATTTGTGGGGGCTTACGCCACTGCGAGAAAAACAACTATTTATGCTTCAATCTATGCCTGCCAAGAATTGTTGCTGCTGTCTGATTGTTGGTCGTGCTTAGGGTCAGCATGCCGATCAGTTTGGGTCTAGCTATGGTGACATGATCTTGCCAGGGGTGGTTGATGGGCTAATGCCTCGAACGCAGACTACGTATGCGGACCAGACGCAACCAGGGCCGACTATGACGACTCGCAGTGGAAGGCGGGGAAACAGAGGTTGGTTGGTAGTCTTGAAGCCATTGACGGATGTTTGAGGGTGTTATTAGTGTGGCGGTAAGCATTTTGAGGCAAACACGTTTGTGTATTTCTTTTTATCAAGATTGAACGTAGACTTGAATTTTGTTCGCTGAGTACTTTGTGTGAATACTGTGCTGAAGCATACCTAGTACTCTTATTGGCTCACCATGTAATGCTATTTAAAACACTGCAGCAATAACGGAATTCGATGCGATGTTCGGTATTGAATTGCCATCATTGTCCCTGCTGCGTCGCAGTTGGTGATCCATGGCGATTGGTCCCGTCCCATGGCTCAAACAAGTCGAATAAAATGTTTCCCAGTCCTATGCTCGCCACCCCCGTCCGCCGCCAGTATCAAGTGGCGAACCAAATCACTTCGTTAAGCGGGCACAATGACTTGAATTATTTTGCAGTTCGCGTAAGCTTGTAAGAGTGGTCCCTCTTTAGAAGACGGTCTCTTAGTACCTGCTTGATTCTGTAGAAAATATTCTTCTGTCTTAGAAATGACGGGGCCCATTATGCTTAGGTAGCGCGACCTTCCTCCCTTTTAAAACTAGTGAGGGCCAAGATCATACATGCAAGTACACTTGCATCTGTCGTAGAAAAAGAGCGAAATTGGCGGGAATGGAGGCATAAGGGCGCTAGGCCCTATCTCGGTTCTCCCCTTTCCCACTCTCAACCGTACGCGGGACTCAAGATGCAGTCGTCCAGCCAAGTCGGTCATCAATGTTGTCCAACAAATGGTTAAAAGCCAAATATATATATATTGCTGGTTATTAGATGTGCATACTCAGCTGCACGGAGCTTTGTGTTGTGCCATCAATGCAGATCGTAAGTCTATATTAGAATCATTGACGCCACATCTGAGTGCCGGGCAGATGGCCCCTGAACAACGATATCTTGCATTTGACACTTGAATGGAGCTAGGTACTGCTACTTTCAAAGCTCATCCCTAACCTACCTGCGAACGGGAGGATCCCCTTAATTACTCACCGAAGCCCGACTTTCAAAGTCACGCATCTAATCATCCCTCAGCCAAGTTACGCCTCCCGCAACGACCTGGTAAATCGCTCCATTCGGCGACATCTGCGTCGGCGCCACATTATTATTATACCGCCCCCCAGCCCCCGCCCGGATCCGCCAGACAACCTCTCCGGTCCAGAAATCGATCGCCGTGAAGTACCACACATACAGCCCCCGGCCCGCGAGCTCTTCGTCCTGCGTGTAGGAGTACACCAGCCCGTTCGCCGTCGACAGGCTCAGCACGCTCGTCGACCGCACGTCCAGCGCCCAGCGCACCGCGCAGCTCCCGTCCGCAGCGACGTCCACGCGCGTGATCCCCGGCGCCAGCGGCGCGAAGTCGTTGAACGCCCCGTTGACGTCCTCCGCCGCGCCGAGGTCCTGCAGCTCCGGCGCGCCGTGGTTGTTGTTCACGAGCACGCTGTACGTCGACCCGTCAAAGTAGCCGACCATGGCGTTCTCGTTCGCGCTGCCGTTGGGCTGGAACAGCGGGACCACGCAGACCAGCGGCGCCTGGCTGTCTGCGAGGCCCTCTGCGCTGGCATCGACTTGGCGGTATATCAGCAGGTTGACTTGCACGTCGGCGTTGTCGGTGATGGCGACGTATCTGTCTCCGATGAGGGCCGGTGTCGACCCAGAGCCTTGCGAGAAGCCGCCGGGCTTGGGAGCGCTGCCCGCGTCATAGGTCGTATTCCACAGAGCTGTGATGTGCCCGTCGATTGCGTCCGCGCGGAAGGCGAACATGTGGCCGACGGTGCTTCGTGCGGTGTCGGACGCGAGAGGTCCGGTGTTGAGGTAGACTGTTCTTCCGCTTACGGCGATCGAGTTTTCGATTCGTTGGCCGTCGATGGCGATGGTGTGGACTGTTCCGTTGGGGGTGATGTACCCGAGACGTGAGGCATCTTCGGCGGTGCCGGTGGTCATGAGAGCGACTGATGTGAACCATATGTTCTCATCCTCGTCGAGATAGCTGCTCACGACACCATGACCTTGAGGGATGACGGCAGTGAGGTCAATGTCTCGGACCTGGTTGAACGTCGTGGAGTTTGTCCCATCAACACGCTCGACTTGGAAAATGTGCCTTTCCATCGTCGGCAGAATGACTGTGTCTCCGGAAACTGCGGCGTACGGGGACAGCAGGGTCTGGCCTTCAGGGGCCCAGGATCCCAGCATGTCCATGGAGTCCGGGTCAAATGCCGCGATGCAGAAATAGGGCTCCGCGGCATCGGTGCAGACGGAGCGCGCCGTGAGGCGGTTGTCGCTGTGCCAGTACTGAGCGGAAATGGCGACAGAACGGCTGGAGACGTTTGGCGATGTGCCGAGGGGGCCGTTCCAGTCGTTGGTTCTGGTGTTGCCGCCGTCCTGGTGGAAGCCAACAACGTTTGGGATGTAACGAGTCTTCTTCGGGAGAGTCTGAGCTTGAGCAGGAGCTCCGATGAAGAACTCGGCGGTGACGTTCTGGCTTTCGAGAACGACTCCGGTGTCTTCCAGTGGTGATGGCGAAGCCTGAAACTGTTAGATGATGCTTCTGTTGTTATTCGCAGCAGGATGTGTGTATCTGGGAGACTTACACACTGGCCGACGACAGAATGGAAAAAAGAAGCCGACGCCAGAAGGGCGATGCCAAATTTGGTAGAGACACTCATCATGAAATTGTGTAACTGTGACTGCGAGCTTGAAGATGAGTGTTTGTGTCGAACAGTTGACACATCCTCAGACCTCTCTTTATAAGTGATTCCTCCAGGCTGCCTGTTAACAGTCATGAGGCCGAGTGACGCCGCTTCCACTCACAAAATGAGGCTTTGAATCCTTGACATCGCTACGCTTGAGCCAATTTCTTGGTGGTTCAATTTCCGCGCCGGCGGCTTTCACGCGGGAAAAGCTCAGCCACACAGCACATCAGGGCAAACGTTCCTCGCATTCGTATTTGAAGTGTCTTGGAGCTCGTTTATCTTCGTTCAAATCCGCAGTTTGAACGAAGCTTTACCAGATGTCCAGTTTCCTGCTATAGGTTGTCGTGAGTTGTTCGTTCGAACGGCTTTACAACCCGTCCCCGAAACGGGTTATTCGAAGATGCCGTCAACCCGAGCACTAACTGTTTGCTACAAGACATGGCCGAATTGTTAGTATTGATCGACGTGCGGAGTGGAGGCTTGGGGCATTGGAAGCTTTCCCCGAGAAGTCCGTTACGTTGTGGACCCCCAGTCAGTCGGTTCTGCAGGTTGTGGACATCAACGTAAATGATGTTAAGCTGGTAAAAGATGAAAGTTGCGAGACCATCAAACGTCGTCAGAACAATGTAAGGAAAGGCTCTTTCTCGTCAAGATTTGCTATTCCAGCCTTCGATTCGACATCCTGAGCAGAAGTACGCGTTTGTAATTCCCAAGCCACAAGTGGGACGGTCTAGAGTGTCAGCCCTCTATGATTCCTTCAACGGATATGCCAAAAGACTTTTCTAACATGCGCAGTCCCCCCTTCTCACGCTGGTTACAATATACCAAGCGTTGCGCTTACACGAGAATCAACATCAACACCCTCCCTCCTCCCTCTCTCCAACCAACCCCCTCAAAAACTCAACAACAACCGCATACGCCTCCTCCCTCGCCCTCGCCTCCTCATCCCCCTCCATCTTATCAAACCCGTGCCCAACCCCCTCACACCTCTTCACAACAACCCTCCTCCCTCCCCCTCCAATCCCCGCCGCAAACCTCTCCCCCTCAGCCGCAAGCCGGTCTCTCTCCGCCGTGATAACAACCACATCCCGCGGAAACGCCCCCTCCCCCGCCATGCCCACACTAACCCTCGCGTCCCCGGCCTCCGCCTCCCCGCCGCTCAAATACGCCTCCCGAAACATCCCCATCACCGCCCTCCGCACCGCCGGCATATCCTCCACCCTCCCGTCAAGCATCCTCTTCTCCGCCGGATGCGTGCGCATCTCCGTCGGCGGGTAGAACGCCACCACGCCCCTCACCTTGTCACCCCCTTCTGTTCCTACCGCTGCCGCCACCGCCAGCGCCAGATTGCCCCCCGAGCTGAAGCCGCACAACACCACCCTGCCCACATCATACGCCCCCCTCCGCGAAACCACATGCGCCACCACGTCCTGCGCATCCTCCACCGCGGCGGGGAACGGCTCCTCCGGCGCCAGCGCGTAGCTCGCGTCGAGCACCGTGAACGGCGTGTGCCGCGCGACGTGCCGGCAGAAGGCCTCGTCGGCGCCGTGCGCGTCGAAGACGAAGGCGCCGCCGTTCCAGTTGATCAGCACCGGTGTGGGCGTGCTTGCGTTATCAGGGCGGTCTTTGCAACAACAACACATGTCAGTCCTCGTCCATCTCTGGGGAAGGGACGCACGCAAACAAAATACTCACAAACATGGACCCTAATCACCCTCTTCCCATCTCTCCCCGTGATCGCAAAGACCTCATCAGGCTGCTTCGGCGCCGGCTTCTCCCCGTCAAAGTAACGCAGCGCCGAGATGACGGCTTTGAGGCGGATGTACGCTAGGTGAGAGTGCGCCATCCTTCTTCACTTGCCGTTCCAAAAGAATGAATGACAACGATGGGAGTGGAAGACCAGACCGACGCGCCAAGCCTGCGTATTTATAACCATCTCGTTTGACTGAAGCTGAGCAGTCCTCCAAGTCTTGAACAGGAAGGTCGTGTGTTTTGTTGGTGGCGCAGCTGGAAGATTGTCGTTGGTGAGGTGGCCGCACCCCTGCAGTTGGGGATGCCGAGATCCGGCAGGACTTGGACTGCCACCCGTAGGACTTTGTCCTAGAAAACTTCCAGGCTGCGCACCGAAGCACCCGGCATTAGTTGCAGCTCCAAAGTTGCGGCCAGGGGCTTCAATGATTCACGCGTGCTTGCAACAAGGCTGTGTCAAATGGAGAAAGTCTTGCAATGATTTGGGCAAAGGTTCGTGTGCATAATGATGTTACACGCCCATCTCTGGGTCTTCTAAGTCTGTCTATATCTATGACAATAAATCCTGTTTCTCAGGTGCTCGCCGCCTCCTGTTAATGCATACGAGCGCTCAAAAGTCGTTACCTGTGCCTTTCCGTAGCCTGTTCATGCCCGTTGCGCCAATGCCTGATCTGAACAAAAGAAACACTCGTTATGAAAAGTCCCCCCAACACCCATTACCCAAACCAATACTCGCTTTTCTGTTTCCTGTTCTGGCCCTCAATACTCCCACGCAATGTTTCCAAATCTCCCCCACCCACTACAATAAAAAATGCCGCAAGACGATGAAGTGCTTCGACAATGTGGATCTTTGTCGATATGAACATCGCTTGCTGGGCTTCAAACAGCCATTGCCACAGTCCTTCTCGATCTTATACTGTGTATTCAGGGAAAGGATCCTCCTCCTCCTCCTCTTCTTCTTGGAAGAGGAAAACATTCCCGAACTCGTCCACGTCCAGAACCTCGTCAGGGTCTGTTGCCCTTAGCTTCTCCTCCAAACTGAGCGGAGGTTCCCTCTAGAAACTGAGCAGACCGCTGCGTCGCTTGCCGAGGGGATAGACCATGAGAGCGCTCAGGAATAGTCCCACGGTGATACCAATGGCGACTTGAATAACACTGAGCAGGACGTCGAATGCAGAGTTGTTGATGTTGGACGCGTCGACCGTGGTGCCGTTATTATTCGTGATCTGATCCGCTGACGTCACTCCTGCAAGAAGGGATCCACCAGCAGCAAGACCACTGGGCACTTGCACGAAAATTGCGGGCAACATAGCCGCTGCAGCCAAGCCATATCCAATGGTGCGCGTCCGCTTGGCAGGTTCTCCTCCTTCCGTGGGCTTCTCTGGGTCCGCAAACGTAGTGGAAGTTGGCGTTGTCGGGGCCGACTCATCGGGGGTGTGGATACCGTTGTTGTGGCCCGACATCTGGTACTCGTTGTGGCGACGGCTGCTGCTAACGAAGCGAGGCTTGATACGCACGTCGAACCAATCGAGGAAGTCAAGCCACTTGTTGTGGGCGTGGCGACCGAGGCGAGAGTAGAGATTGGCGAGTAAGCCGACCGTCAGGGCGCCCAGCATGTTGGAAATCTGGGCATTGCCCACGAAGAAGTCCGACGAATAGTTGTTGACGAGGAATCCGGCGAGGGAGATGGCGATCATGACAGGCATCTGCTTCCACTTCGCGCCGTTGATGATGCAGAGACACAATGTGAATGCCGGAACGAACAGAAGATACCATTGTCTGTTAAGGGGATTTTCGCACGTCGTTCGGGATTCGGCGTGTCTGTCAATCATGCCGTAGAGTGCTGTTCCTATGGTGGTACCGTAGCCGAGAAAGAGTGTGTAAATCATGGCGTATACCATTCGAACACTACCAGCGACGAGGTTGTGGCTCTGGAGCTCCAGAGAACTGCACAGCACCATGTAACCTGGCAAAATCAGGGCAATGGAGCTTTGAGCTAGAGCCGAGAAGCAAAAGATTGAACCGTTGTTGATAGAGCCGAAAGCGCGGGCCAAGAAAGACGTCAAGATGGAAGCGGTGATCTCGAATACGTTGGCGTACAGTTCGTTGCTAGGTGCCATGTACAGCTGCATATATCCCACCAGAACGCCCAGAACCCAGGCGATGGGAAGGTCAATGAACCGGCCAGAGAAAGCGAAAGGGGCCACACAAGCGCTCGCGAAACCGAATGTCAGTACGCGGACCCATCTCGGGTACTTGGAGTTGCGACCTATAATCGCATCCAGCCTGACTGTTGCCTCGTCGGCACTAATGAGGTCGTGGACAACGAGCTTGTAGACGTGGTGCGTGTCGCGAAGCTTGCCGAGATCGACACCGTGGGCAGAGCGCACAATCTTGACCTCCGTGGTGTGCGTAGCACTGTCGTCGAAGCTGATGATCATGCAGCCAGGGATGTACAAGAACTGGCCCTCGATCTCGAGAACGCGGGCCGACATCTTCATGTACTCTTCCAAACGATGAGTCGGGGCACCGTACATCATCAAAGCCCTGCACAACTTAACCAGATACTTATGCCGGGAGAGGATCTGGGCAATGTGCTTGGTGATCCTGATCTTATCGTCAGATCTGCTCTTAGGCGAAGACGCGCCCCAGCCGGACTTCTTCTTCTTAGGCTTAGGTGCGTCCTGCTTGATCTTCTCGGTGAAGCCAGCTGAGAAGGCACTTGAGCCAGGACCCATCATGGCAGACGACGACTTAAGCAGCTCCGTGAGGGCCATGGACGACCTAGATCCTTGCTGCTTGTGGTAGCTGAAGAGGCCGCTGCTTGGTCGAGACGGGCGTGGGGACCCGGGAGCCGAGGGCGGCGCGGAGGGCGGTGCGGAGGTCGGGGCAGATGGCGGCTTGGATCCGGGGGGCGAGTGGTTCGGAGTTGTGCCTCCGGGGGTGTTGAGGCCGCTGCTGCCACCGCTGCCATTCTCGTTGTAGAGCTTGAGCAGCGATGACAAGATTCCGCCATGGTACTGCTTGGGCGGAGGAACGTAGTCATGAGCATATGACTGTTCGTTGGTGGGCGTTGCTGTTCCAGAGCGAGCACCAGCCGGAGGTGCATACTTCAAGTAATCGTTGGGCTGGCCTCTTCCTCTCTTCTGGCGTTGAGTGTGTGACCTGACGAGGTTCTCCGCAGCCAGGTGGGAATTCTTCCTGGGACGGTTGCGTACTGCGCGGCGCGAGTTGTTGGGCGCCTGTACTCCAGTGCTCAGGCCTCCAACGCGATCGAGGTCTTCATCGGTCTCGTCACTGAAGGGGTTGTTGGCCATGTCGAGAGAGTTCCTGCGCGAGGGCGGGGACGAGTAGTTCTCGACACTGACGGCCAATCTGTCGGCACGTTGACGGGCCTCGAGCCCGGAGCGTTGCTGACGCTCGCCGGCACTGCGCTCGGCGGCGTCGGCCTTTTCCCGCTCCTCCGGGGCATCGTAGCTGGTGTTACGGCGCAATACTGGCCGGGGGCGGCGGAGGGTATCTGAGGGGCCGGCCTCCTCCTGACCTTCTGAGATGAGGACCTGGGTCAGAGCACGGCGCAGCTCGCCGGCGTCCGGAGCGCCCTCGGGCACATCTCGTCGGGGAGTAGCAAACGGATTGGTGTCGGGGCCCTCTGGAGACATGTTCTGCGAGAAATAGTCGTCGCCAACTACGATACTGGGCGGTCTGTCGTCGCCGTGAAAGCCAACACGCTTCTTCTCCTTCTTGGCCGAGGGGACGTTTGCTTGTTGAGGATTCAGCAACGGCGGCGTATGGAGCTTATCTTGCTGCTGGTTTTGAGCTTGTTGCGGTGGTGAAGGGTCGGCGAAGGGAGAAGCGGCGGGTTGGGGAGACAGGTTGGAGCTGCTGGAGCTCGATTGCCCGGGGTCTTGATTCGCCGCGGGCGCCGACATGGTGCCGAAAATAGAAAGGGATCGGCGCCGGCGTGGCCGTTGGGATGCTGTTGTGGTCTGATTCGATTAAGATTTCCGTGGACAAGAGTACGAATGCACAACGCAAGATAAATTGAGGTTGCTGCGGATGCGGGTAATAACAAAGCTAGCGGGTGGGTTGATGCCGTTTGGACAGACGGGAAGTCGGACTCGGTTCGTTCGGTGTGGTGTAATTGGTCTCGGTCGGGGTCGGTGTGTACCTGAAAAGAGGTGCGTGTAGGTCCAGTGCTTGCTTGTACGTGCTTGCGGGTAGAAGGTACGGCGGTCGTTCGTTCAGTGGACTTCGCGGCGGTAGCGGTTACGTGCAGCAGGAGTGATCATCGTGTGAAGGGAAAGAGAAATGGGATCGTGGGTGGTGGGAGGAGGATGTAGGTAGAGGTAGTTCGTGGGCAGGAGGCAAGGTAGATAGAGGTAGAGGGAGAGAGAGAGAGGGGATGAGGGGGTGATCAATGGAGACAGGACGGAGAAGCTGAGAAACAGACAGGCGGAAGGGGCGGAGAGATGGGACGTAATGAATGGCAAAAAGAAGAGGGAAGGGACGGGGAAGAAGCTAGACGATGGAGCAAGCAAGCAAGCTGGTGCAAATGCTCCAGCTCCAGCTCCAGTCGAGAATCACACAGACAACGGAGGGCCCAAGGCAAGATCCACGGGGACTGCTTGGTGTTTCTCGTCCCGAGTGAGTGCGTCGTCAAGGTGTGTGTCTATGTACCTGAGCTACATGGATGGATACTCTGTACAATTTTGGTACAGACTTGGCGAGGTTGGACGGCATTCTTCTTATCACGCAAGAATCCGCATGGCTCCTGGTCGGGACCAGCTCAGTGCTGAAGCGTGTTCGATGAGCGACCTCGACCTCGACCATGGGCCCTAGGTAGGGTAGCGGACGACTCCATCACGTCTTGCGGTGCCTAGTGGTGGTGATGATGGTGGTGGACTCCGTCGAAAAACTCCATCGCCCACGCCCCCATGTCGACCACCCACGCCATTGCCCTGTCGCGCAAGGTCTCGTCCTGTTGTCGGCCTGCCTTGTCCGTCATGGGCGTGGCCAAGGAGGGGCGGGAGGGGAGACGGGCTTGGGTGACTAGGAGCGGCTGGCGGGTCCCAGAGGTCAGGAATCACAAAGTGT